ACCAGTGGGCGACATCATTAAATGGGTCAAAAATATTCCTGGGTTGCCAGCATCTCCCGAAGCAGAGGCAGGTGGCTATGTTCCTGCTGATTTGTTAAACTCTAAGGTACTTCCCACTGTAAAGAAGTCACCTAACTATGGAGGTGTGATGTTATGGTCAAGGTACACAGATAGATTGAGCGGATATAGTAAGCGCCTTCACCTTGGTCCTCTTTGCACACCTCAAAGTGCTCCCAAATGCAGGAGCCATGACAATGGTTTTGAAGAAAGTTTTGGTTACATGTCCACTGATAGTATTAAGGTTCACGAAAGAGAGAATATTAGTGGACAGTGTTGTGAGATCATATGCCGGAACAATTGTTCTTGTGAGGCTTATGCACCGATTAATAGAATTAACAAAACTGGATGCCAGATGTGGCTTAAAGGAACTAGGTTCATTGAAGATGCAGAGTCAAAAGGACAGTCCATTTATATTGTTAGACTTAGGCAAGAAGGTATGCCCTGTTTCATAAACTGCGTTAGGCTATATTATATTTTTGCTTGTTCTGCAATGCGCATTGACATGGGTGTTTGGTTTTGTTTTTGTTTTTAAGTGATTTTATGTTGTACAAGGTAAATGAGTAATTGGTCTCATAAAGTCTAAAAGTGATCTTTTGAAGCTTTCCAATCCTTATGCTATTATATTCCTTCGGCCCTTAACATATGACATTTATTAAAGTTAATTTTGATTCTAAATATAAGACCTATTTCTCATATTTATCAATTTTTTGTAAATGACCCTATAGATATTCTCTCAATCATAATCAAGTAAGTGAAAACATGTCATTTTTTACAATTAACTAACTTACCTAACTTCCTTAATCTAATCAAATTAGTTAAACAGGTCTTATATTAAGGATCGGAGGAGTTTGTCATTTTTTTTTCTATTAAGAAATGTTGCAAGTTGCATCACATATCTGTCTTTCATGAGTCCTCCCTATTTTTTTGGTAAACAAATGGTAACCTCCATTTAAAATTGGCTATATCATATCCACGCGTGACTTGAAAATCATATTGTTGTGAACTGTAGTAAGCAAGTGGTGGATATGGCTTATCATTGCAGTGGGAGGAAGCCTAGTATTACCTCTGATATGCTACTTATGCTATGCCTCATTGAGAAAATACAAAGCAGAAGGTAATAACTACCATATAGTATTGATAATATCCAAATAATCACTGAGTTAAGGTCCTCTTGGTGACTTGTACTTCTATGTCACATTACCAGTGGATAGGAAAACCAAGCAAAAGAAGATATTACATGAAATTGGAGGCAATGCGATGATTTCCATGGTGTATGGCAAAGCCAAAAGAAACAAGAAAAATGGGAAGGAAAGGAATGAGGTTGAAATTTTCAGCTCTGAGTGCATTGTGGTTGCCACAAACAATTTCTCAGATTCTAACAAGCTAGGAGAGGGCGGTTTTGGTCCTGTATATAAGGTAATGTGTATATGTGAGAGGTAGAGTGAGAGAGAGAGTATTGAAATTAGAAACTACATGGATATGAACTTTGTACAATAATATCATCAGGGGACACTACCCGATGGGCTGGAAGTTGCAATAAAACGACTGTCTAAAAGTTCTGGACAAGGGCTTACAGAATTCAAAAATGAGGCTAAACTTATGGCTAAACTACAGCACACTAATCTTGTGAGGCTTTTGGGCCTTTGCATCGAAAGAGATGAAAGAATTATAGTTTATGAGTACATGCCTAACAAAAGCTTGGATTTCTACATATTTGGTAGGTTGTCTTTTACATTCAACAAAATTATGAATGTTTTAGCGTACGTGTCAAGCTTTCTAATAAGCAGTTTACCCTCTGACAGATGCAAGCAGAAGAAATGTACTAGATTGGGAAAAACGGTTTAGCATCATCGAAGGAATTGCCCAAGGACTTCTTTATCTACACAAATATTCAAGACTAAAGGTCATACATCGTGACTTGAAGGCAAGCAATATATTACTTGATGAAGAAATGAATCCTAAAATATCTGATTTTGGCACGGCTCGAATATTTGAATTAAGAGAATCTGAAGAAAACACAAATAGAGTAGTCGGTACACGGTAAGTTTATGAACACAGTTCATTTTAATCACTTTCCATGTGACTCTTGATTGATTCGGGATTCTAACATTCATTTGCTTTGTTGTTACTTAAGTGGCTACATGGCTCCAGAGTATGCAATTAATGGCATTGTTTCAATCAAAACAGACATATTCAGCTTTGGTGTGTTGCTAATAGAGATTCTTAGTGGCAAAAAGAATAACAGTGGATTTGATTTAGATCGTCCTTATAATCTAATAGGATATGTAAGTCTCTGAAACAGCTATTTCTTAAATCCAATATATATATATATTATTCTAATGACTGATCTGTTAAGCTTTTGATGGATGCTGGGGTTTTTTTAGGCATGGAAGCTCTGGAATGAAGGTAGAGCTTTAGAGCTAATGGACTCAGGATTAGATGAACCGAGCGTGCAAAACAAAGTGCAGAGAGGAATTCATATTGGCCTCTTGTGCGTTCAAGATCAAGCAAAAGACAGGCCTTCCATGTTAGATGTAATTTCTTTTCTGTCAAATGATTCCATTCAACTTGCCAAACCAAAGCAACCAGCATACTTTATCGGTGACGTTGAGGAAGAGTCTGAGCTACATGACATCAGGCATGAATATTATTCCCCAAATTATGTCACAATTTCTAATCTAGATGGTAGGTAACTGGTCCCTTGTGTATACACTACGATTAATGATTTTATTTTCTTTATGTAGAGATCTACGAGTAAAACTATATGCTTTCTGACTACTTGCTGAAAATGCATTGTTTTGGGGTCGTAACATCACTTTAGTTGTGAGAATTTTCTGTGTTTCTTTGACTTTGTGATAAGCTCAGAGTTTTTGTGTTCCCTTCTCCATGGTTGTTTGCCAATAAGAAGACAACCTTTAGTCCAGATTCTGAATGGTGATGAAGCTCTCGATTTTTATTAACATATTAAATTTCTTCCCATTTTATTGGTTGCTTGAATTTTCTCTTTATGGGCGGCTCGGATTGTCCTGTAGGAAGCTTCTCTTGCCTAAGAGATCAGACTTGTTCCTGATCTTGAAGAGTATTTTACAATAAATAATCAAACTGTATTGTTACAGAAAAACATGTTTGAAGTGTCATTCTATTTAAATTTAATAACACTTAAATTTAAATTAGTCATGATATTATATATCCAAGATATTCAAAATTAAACTAATTAGTTGAGGAGGTGATTCAAATGTCAGTGTTGAACTGGGATCAATTTAATCATAGCTAAAGTAACAAAACTTAAATATATAAATATATTCATATATATAACTATGAAAAAAAATTTCTCCAGTCCTTAATGTAAGACCTATTTAACTAATTTGATTAAATTAACAAAGTTAGGTAAGTTATTTAATTATAAGAAATATGACATATTTTTCCTAAAACATCATAACCATCTTTCTTAATATCCTCTCTCCTTCTCCTATTTGATTATGATTGAGAGAGTATCAATATAAGTAATTTTGAAAAAAATGGATAAATATGATAAATAAGTGTTACATTTAGAACCAAGATCAACTCAACAATTAGGTCATATATTAAAAACCAGAAGAGTAGTATTTAAGTAATGACCACATTAATCATGCATAACACTGTGATGAGCATAAGCCTAAGGATAGAGCCCAATCACAAATGACTAACCTATTATAAGGGACATGCTTTTGAACTTATAAACCTCACAATACTTGTGAGATTCACTAATGTGGAACTCATAACAGAGTACCTCTCTTGAGAATCGATGCCACCGGGAACTTCACTCGGTTAGAATCCTCTATAGATAGTCCTTTCCGGTTGATCGACTCTTAATAAGAGCAATAATGTGATGAGTACAAGTCTAAAAGAAGAACCCAATCCCAAAAGACTGGCTTATTAGGAGAGAGAGTCTCTTGAGTTTATAAATCCCACAATACTTGTGGGTTTCCCCAATAAAGGATTCATAACAAACACACTTGATACAACATAACTTACTAAACACACATTACTTGTGTTTTTAATAGAAGAGTTAAATACTCAATAACTCTTAACTAGATTGATTAAGAAATGGATTTAAGTTTGAATACTATTCATTGTTAGCTAAGAGTGTGCATTTGGAAGAGTTATCTCCAATTAGATGCAATAACAGTTAAATCTGACTCAATCGGCCATATTAAAAAAAAACTAATCATATTTAGAAATTAGAATGGATATTTAGAATGGAGGGATGTGCACATGGATTTTAAATTAAAGCAATGGGCGGTGTGTAACTGTAGATGTTGGTATGGCAGTTGGAAGCCCCAAAACCAGTTGCTCCCAAAAGCTTACAGTTTTGTGTGTCAGTCTTCCAGGCCGACATCGCAATACGAAACCTCATTTTCTATGTTTCCCTTTCTTTCCAACCGAACCATTTGCGTAGTCCACAGTTTTCTCGATAAAATCTACACATTTTCTTGGAGTTTGAGATTCAAAATCTAGTAAAACCCACTCAACATCCCCTCACCATCCTTTTTCACTGTGTCTCTTTTTTTATTTTTCCCTTCTTTGTTTTCTTCACCAAACTAGAACGGCTAAAGTCCCTAAAATAATATAATACTATAAAGGATCCAAAAACAAGGGGCTTTATAAGCGGATTATATTTTTTTTAATTCCTGAGATCTTAACATCATTTTATATTTTTTGACTGAACTAAAATATCTATTATCTGAATTTAATAAAGAGCAATAACAAGGTGAAATTATTATTCGTCACATTAAATAATTTATTTCAAGCGGGAAAATTCTTTTGCTATCGTCCTTGAAATTGTCAGCAATACAAATTTCGTCAAGGGTATAGTAGAAACTGTTGACCATCTTATTATTGTAAGGATAATTAAATAAATTTGATTCACATATTTTATAAGATCCGCGAAATTAAAATATTTTACCAATAACACACTTATTTATATGCGTATTTCCTAAATAACCTGACAGTCCTTTTTTTGAAAAAAAAAAATCCTATGAATCCAACCTCAAAAGGCTTTATGTTATGCACTTCCTCTCCAAACTTATAATATGTATCTTTTATGTGTCATCGTAATTATCACTTTATTGTATTATTTTTAGGTTAACAACATAAATATTGGCTCTGGCAAAAAAAAAAACATAAATATTAGTTCTTAATATTATTTATGTATATAAGGCATAAATTTATACTCCTCTGGTCCTTAATATAAGACCCAATTCTTGAGTTGATTTTGGTTCTAAATATAAGACCCATTTCTCATATTTATCAATTTTCTCTAAATTACCCCTATAGATACTCCTTCAACCATAATCAAATAGAAAAGGGAGATGAGGTATTAAAAAAGATGATTATGGTGTTTTAGGAAAAATGTGTCACTTTTCTTATAATTAACTAACTTACCTAACTTCCTTAATCTAATCAAATTAGTTAAATGGGTCTTATATTAAGGACCGGAGGAGTATTAAATATACAGTTTTGATTGGTTGGGCGATGGTGGGAAGCATGCATGTGTGTAATTATGCGTTATATATATAAGAGGCAACAGAACCCATTCAATATGTTTCAGTAGTTACTACCAAAATTCATTTCCTCTCTCTCCTCTCTTCCTCTCCTTTCTCTCTGCTGTTTCTTCTCTCTAACAGATTCACTCCCTCATCATCTCTCTCCCCAACCTCTCAGGTATGATCTCTCTCTCTCTCTCTCTCTCTGAGATCTCTGTGTTTTGCATATGAGAGAAACAGTACATCTTCTGCATTCGAGTATATGTTGTTTAATAACATGTTTGTTTGATTATTGTCTCGTTCCTTCTGTTTTGTTCATAGGCATTTGTGATAGATGGGAATCTGAAAGAGGAGAGAGGAGAGAAAGTAGAAACTTGATTTTCCATATTCACATTTTGTTCATTCGTGGCTGGTTTTGTTCTACGATTTGTCTGTCTCTAAATTCACAGTTTATTCCGTTAGTGATATATATATATATATATATATATAGTTAGCAGTAGCTGATCACTATCATTTTTTTAAGAAAAATACGGTTGACATTCATATCTTATATTTTTGTCAATGTATTTTTCTTTTTTATTTAGAGGGACACAGCTTAAGATTACAACTTAATTACAAGTGAGATCTAATCACAACCTTCCACAAAAAGAAGTTCTTAAACGGCATTAGTTAAGCCACGAGACTATTGACTTTAACAATGAAATCTTCATAAATTTTTTTATAAACAGAAACAGAGAGAATAAAATGCGACATTATATATATTTAACGATATACAAACTGTTATTTACAGTTATTAAACATCCTTATAATAATAAAAAGTTTAAAAAACATAATATAGTAATTAAGGACATTAATATTTTATATGATATATACACACACAAATGCTGATATATATAGTTCTTCCAAAAGAATAAAATTCTGTTTGGCCAAAAAAAAAAGAATAAAATTCAGTGCTGACGTAGATTTGACATATTATAATGAAAGAGCGACCTTTGGCGAAGGTCTGAAGTTGATGAAGTGAGGTGGATTTGCAGAGAGATGATGGTAATAACACCAATGATAGGGCGGCCATTGATGAGGCTGGTGAGGGGTCTGATGTCAGAACCGATAGGGAGCGTGACGACGATGCTGCACAGTGGCAATCTCCTTCCTCGCAGCAATCTCAGTAACTTATATATAATTAAATATAATATAACCTAAATTAATTTATATTAATTTACCTTATTTTTAACTTATTAATTTTTTATTAATTCTTAGAAGAACTTATTTCTATGAAATTCTTCTCATTCATCTAACCTAAATTTCGGAATGAGTCTAAGCATATTTTCATCGGTTCTTTTCTTGACATCAAGTGTATTTGTGTAAAGTTTTAGTTTGAAGATTATGGACTTATGGTAAAAATTTTAATGTTGTATAAAAAATATACTTCATATCTGTATATACTGGTTGATTAGCATGTCCATAACTTATTGTTTAAGAACTCACAATATCATGTTTTAATTTTGATTAGTCTAAAACTTTATAAATGCATTTATAGATTAAGTCTATCTATTGAAAAACAACAATACAATTAAAAAGTATCCTTAATATTAATAACTTAATTTATTTTACTAGGGCATCCAGTAAAAAAATTATATTAAAATCTTATATTATTAATTTAATCATGATATATTTTTAGAACTGCTTATTATTGTTATAAACAAATTACGTATGGCTGACGAAAAACCAAATTCATTGTATGTATATTAATGTAATTGAATCAAGCTTTTATGAGATATCATAATTAATAGAATCTTGTTGTTTTATTGTAAATTTAAATTAAATTTATTTAAATAATTAAATCATATGTAATTTTTATAGCATCAAATCTTATGTACGGTATAGTATAAAATTTTAAACAGGTTTAGAGAATTATGAATATGATTAAAGGTATAAAAATCTACATTTTAAATAGACTTTTAGAATGACTTTAGCCCTGACCAGGTCTTTTAAAGGCTCAGGTTTAAACCTAAAAAAAATGCTTATATACTAGTACAAGCTCAGGTTCAGGCTTAGACCTCTGACCTATTTTCATCATTATCTAATGCTCTTCTGGTTCTTAATATAAGACCTATTTAACTAATTTGATTAGATTAAAGAAGTTAGGTAAGTTAGTTAATTATAAAATATGACAAGTTTTTTTTAAAATACTATAATCATTTTTCTTAATACCCCCTTCCTCTTCTACTTGATTATAGTTGAGCGAGTATTTATATGAGTAATTTATAAAAAAATTGGTAAATATGATAAATGGGTCTTATATTTAGGATAAAAATCAACTCAATAATTGTGTTCTATATTAAAGACAGGAGGAGTACCATAAAAAATTGGACACCAATTAATTAATATCATTAATACCACATAAAAAGAATAAAGAGCCATACTATATATAATTTATAAATAATGCATTGTTGTATTTTTAATTATTTCAACTATTATTTAACTTGCATGGACCCTAACCTAATGACATCACGTGCCCCACTTAAATTATATATAACTACTATTCTTAAATGCGAGGCTGAGTTTGGAGTTATGACCCTCCGTGAATGATATACAATGGGTGTATAAATTAGTATATAACTAACTACTTTATTTATTTCTTTCTTTGACTTATTTATTGTACTCCATGTAATTAACATTGTTGTTATCCCACCAAAATTTTTGGGGTATATTTTAACAAGAATTTTTATAAGAAAATAAAAAGATGAATACCGTCATTAAATAGAGAAACATTTAAGTCATTATCTATTTTGAAGTGGATGTGGGAGGCGTGATTTATAAATACTAAAGGAGGAAGAAAAGTGAAAATATATGGCAGAATTTAAGAATAAAGGTGCAAGAAAAAAGAGTAAAGAAGAATAGGAAGCTAGAAAAGTGAAGGGTTCACGCAACGGTGTAGTTTCGTTGCTGAGAAACAGCTTGGCCTCATGGAAGAGGCATCTCAAGCAATTAGTGGTTCTCAACAAATGAGCACGAAAGCGCGGAATTGCCAGAAGAATATCGAATACATTTTTTTAAAAAAAAAATACTAATAGTATTTCCAATGAATTTACTGTATTATATTTTTCATGAAATATTTTAAAAGTTTGATGTAATTGATGATGAATAAATCATTGAAAATTTAAATTTGAGCAAATAATACAAATCATTTATGCATTTAAATAATAATTATGAAAATTTATTGCTCAACGTATAAAACTAGATTTTACAACCCATGCGGCGTAACAAAATAAGGGAGGGAAGAAGAAATTTGAATGAGTTTAATTTCACCAAAAAAAAAATAGAATAAGTAAAGTTGAGAATTTTTAATAAAAATAAAATACAATTTTGAATTTATATCGGGAAAAAATGCCTATATTTAGTTGCATTATAAAGCTTCAATGGATACATATGCTCAATAATAAAAAGATTAAGTATATATTTTTAAGTGTCCGTGCGTGTTATCGGAGATTAGAAAATAAAATAAACAGCAATTTGTTTAATTTTAGAATTTTTTATCGCCAGTTATATATAAAAATAAACAAAAATTTATTTTTGAATTATTTTTTAATCAAATTATATTTCATGAATGAAACAACTTGGTTTGCTGTCCGAATACACGTGATGAAAGAATCTTTTAATTTCTAACCCAGAAGTTATATCTAGTCATGTTGTCATGAATCTTATCCATTAAAAAGTCTATTTATATTACTTATAAACAAAGTTAACTTTTCCGGTAAAAAACAAAAAAAAAAACACAAAGTTAATTTAATCTCTCATTAAAACAAGTTATATACATGTTATTCTCTTTGAGAAATGAATCTCATAATAAAAGTTCATCACAATCTTCTATTGGAACATATTATTTGTTTTTTTTTTTTCAAGAAATGCTGTTTTATTCGTACTTATGATTTGTTTTTGAAAATCCTATCTATAATTCCTCAAAGCCAACACCAATTAATTATCACTATCTTATCAATCAAGCAAGATATTGTTGGCAAGAAAAAAATATCAATCAAGCAAGATATCAGTACACGATATAAATTATATTTTATTTTATTTATCCAAACTTTTATAAATTGATTAAAAATAAGATTGTATGGTTAGAAAACAAAAGCATAAGTGGTAGACAAAGATCAAATTCAGATATTTCATCTTTCTTTTTTCTGGGGCGAAAAATGTTTTATGATTAACAAAGCAATTCAAATTAGACAATATTAAATTAGCAAAATTTCCATAGATTAATTGTTACTTATTCTACCCTTTTTTTTTTTTACACTTATACCTAAGTCACTTCAACTTGAGAATTTCTTTGAGATTTAGATTAATTTGAATTAAGTTGGGCATGATCAATGGCAGCAAAAATTTTACCACCAAATATTTAAGATTGTTGTTTTTTTAAAATTTAAACTCCAGCCATCTAACTAAGCTGGCATGACCTCACCATTTTAAATCAAATGCTTGGTGGTAGAACTTCTAATTAAAAATCTAATCTTGCATTCTCCATACACAACAAGTAAGATTTGCCAATGAAAAGATATTTTGTTAGCATTATCAATATTAAATGTGGAAAGTCATGGAACCAATTTCGGTGCTTATTACTTTGAGAAGTACTATAAGATCATCAAATATGAACTGTTTATGACTCATATGGATGGTCCGGATTTAAAATATTTAATTAATTGTTTTTAAATAAAAAACTATTTTTTAAAAGAATGATAGTTAAGAGATTATCTTTATTTTAGATTTTATACATATTAAAATAATTATTTTGAATAAATAAAAATAAAAAAGAAATCAAATCTGAACTATCTAAATGAGATATAGACAGTTCAGATTTGACACCGACACTGGTTCCGGAAAGTCATACTGAGTTGTTAAGCTTAAGAGCATTGTATTTTTACTAAAACTTCGAACATTATACAGAGGATGTATCTCATTGAAAATTAAGCTAAACTGTGATGCATCTCTGTCTTCTAGTCTTTTTTTTCCCTTCCTTTTTTAACCCACTCCATCCCTATCACTAAAATTAGCTCAACTTTGAAAGTGTGTGTCAATTCTATCAGAAAATTGCATATTTTAAAAGAACACAAGGATTTATTCTTTGATCCAAAAACCCAAAAAAAAAAAAAACAGAGAAGGCATTTATAAAATTTTCTACCCAATATAGCGCCGTCTTCTTGGCCTGGCGCTTCGTTCTCGTTAATTTGCCACCTTTCATACTCTATTTTACCTCACATCAAATCGCCCTCTGATCTCGCCTCTGCCATTTTCGTACTCTCAGACCAACTTCTTCTCAGACAACCTATTTAGTCTCTCTCTCTCTCTCTCTCTCTCTCTCTTCCTTCCATTCACAGAAACACACTTCTCGCTACCATCTTTAGACACAACACACCTTTCATTCTCTCCATTCTCGTTCCTTCATTTTCCTCATCTGGGTTTCAAGATTCCCACTTTTCTTTTCTCCACGGATTTCTTATTCCTCCCTGTTTTCCCTCTCTTCCTAGGAGCTCTGTTTCTTTTCTTCAAGGTTTCCTGATTACTGCTTATTCCTGGCGTAAATAACCACCCAATCCATTTCCTTTTTCATCTTTCTTATAAAATATTCCAACTTTTCGGCATTCCTCACTTTCTCGGACAACACCGAGATGTTCTCCCGATTCTTCAAGTCCAAATTCTATAAGAAAAGGTAGGTGCTTCAACTAACCCAGAGACGTTTCCTCTGTTTTGATGAATGAAAGAACGATCCTCTGTTTCTATGTTCTTGGATGAACCCTGTTTTTTCTTCCTTTGATTTCGTATTGGAAACAGCAAATCACGCCTGAATACTATAAAGGTGAAGGCAGAGATTATACAGAGGAAGAGGAATGCAGTTCAGAAATTTCTCAAGAACGATATCGCAGAATTGCTGAGACGTGGCCACGATTACAATGCTTATCAAAGGGTATTTAATTTTTCTTCTCAATACTCTGTTTTGACGATCTTCTTGGTTTCATACAGAGATCAATTGGGGGGTAAATGATGAAATAACCTTTGGATTTGAATTGAATATAGGCTGCTGGGCTTCTGATGGAGTATAACAAGTCGTTATGTTATGAACTGATTGATAAGTACAGTGGCTGCGTTTTAAATTATCTTGACGACCTAAACAAGCAGAGGTAATATGATACAATATATGATCCATTCTTGTTCTTGCTTCCAGTTTCTTTTTTCTTTTTTTGTTTGGGATGTTATAATTATTATTTTTCCGACATGAATATTGCAGCTTGAAAAATTTGTAATATGTCCTCAGACAAATTTTATCACAGCCATTAATTGCACAATAATTTGGGGATGTTGTTAACCTTTTTGTTTTTTTTAAAAAATAAATTTGCTTTTCAGAAATCATAATCCTGTTTATTGGGATATATTTGGCATGTTGGATCTCTGAAAAATGAAAATTAGCTGAGGGGGATTCGGAATTTGATACCCTAATATAAAGATTTACGTCTTATAAATAGGAAAATACGCAGGTCATTGTAGAGATATCCCAATTAAGATTCATTGTCATTTAATTTTTTGTTTTTAAGTAAGATTTAATATAAAGTAATTGAGACTAAAATGCTATGGGAAATGGCATTTATATTTTTGAATAAAATATTATTATTAAATTCCAGTGAATAATGATAAAAATATAATCTGTATTAAAAATATTTTATTTTGCATTACTTTGTGAGACCATAAATGTAATGATGAGAAAACTCAATTGTCTTTTTTTAGAAATATAATTAGAAATTAATGTTTTGTTTTGTTGCTCCTGAATTTGAAATTATCTTCTTCTTTTTTACCATGGAATTTGAAATTATCATTAACGTACTGTTTATATAATGATTATTTTTTCATGCGTTGTTTGCAATTCGTAGGGTCATATATAGCATAAAACACTTGGGTATATTTTATTGGTGTATGAAGCCTTTATAAAAGATTATATATCGTGACTCGTAACACTGTTCAAAAAGGCTTAGATTTTCTGTAGATCAGATGATTATGTTCTCTAAAAAACAGAGGAGATAGAAGCCTAACTCTTAATTTAAAAAAAAAAAAAATTTATAAAACAGGGATTGCCCAGATGAATGCAAGGAAGCTGTACAGACATTGATATATGCTGCAGCAAGATTTGCTGATCTCCCTGAACTACGTGAGCTCAGAGCCCTCCTAACTCAGAAACATGGCAATTCTTTCCAACCCTACTTAAGTCAAGAGGTGAAATATCATCTTCTTCTTCTTCTTCTTCCATGCCTCTACAAATAATATTCTTGCTCAATCGAAATCCCAAATATGAAGCACTACGTTTCTTTCTGCAGTTTGTATCAAAGTGGAGGCAGGACCTGCCTGCAAGAGAAACCACCATTCAGTTACTGCATGACATAGCTGGAGAGTTTTCTCTCCAGTGGGATAGCAACGCTTTGATTCAGCAAATTTATAGATCACCTTCGTCATGTGAAGTAAGTTTTACATTATCATCTTTATTTTTATTTATTCGTATTTGTCGGCAATCATGATGTTACAAGACATTTTGATTAACAATCTATCTAAAGATTCAGTCATTGATAAAGCTTAACAGTGATTCATGTAACTGACCCCACCTAATTAGATAAAGTTCTGTTGTTGTTATTGTTGATGATGTTATGAATTTCATGTTAGAAAACCTGTGTAATATGGGTTATAAGTTCGGATTGTTTTTTCACCTAAAAGAACAGTCTTTGTGTTCAGCAGTTGTATAATAATCTGCGGAAATAATAATTGAGAGTTGAAGTCCCAATAAAAGCCAGCTAGCTGATTAATTGTTGTTGCAGGAGAAGAGTAAAGATGAAGAAGAAAAGAGCAACGAAGGAGAAGGAAGCAGGAAGGATGTGATCAGTATTTATGACAGTGGTGGCGATGATGAAGATGAATCAAGGAGCATGCGCAGTAGCATGTGGTCGCAAGATAGCAAGAAGGCTTCAAGTTCATCATCATCAAGTTCCAGTTCATTGCCAAGTATTTCTGAGGACGATGACGAGGCACAAAACAATAAGAAACCATTTTCCAGCGGACTCGTTCCTCCCCCTTATTCCCTCGTACCAAAACCTAATAATGACCAAGTTGATGAAGAGAAGCCTAAGCCTACGCCTAAGCCAAAGGGCATATCAGTTAGAACCATACGGTCTGGACCTCCGGCAAGGCATGTTCATCCTAAGCTTCCAGAGTTCGATAACTTGACCACCCAACTAGCTTCCATCAGACAATCATAAAACAAACATCTTAGCTTTTATATATATATGAAATGATGATTTAATTTCTTTATTAATGAATATTATTGCTTGCGTCATAAAACTAGCTAAGTTATCACGTATGTTTATTTGGTTCATTTTTATCCTGTCTCTGAAGCTTGGGCCTTGGGATCTGCTTCGGTTATACCCTCGCTAGCTAGTTGTAAATACCATATGACTTCAAGGATACATGCGAGATCAGGGGTTGGATATATTCCCTTTTTTTTTTTTTTGGTTAATTGATGATGTTATTGATGTAATTGAATTAGACCCATTTATTTAATGGTTATTCTTCCGGGGGGAGAAAATCAAAGAATATGATTAATATCTTATGTGTAATGGCTGGTACTAAATCTACCTTATGAGTTAGTATAATACTTCTCCGGTCCTTAATATAAGACCCATTTAACTAACTTGATTAGATTAAGGAAGTTAGGTAAGTTAGTTAATTATAAAAAATGTGACACGTTTTTTCTAAAACACCATAATTATTTTTCTTAATACCTCATCTCTCTTCTTCTATTTGATTTTGGTTGAGAGAGTATCCATAAGGATAATTTAGAGAAAATTAATAAATATGAAAATAGGTCTTATATTTAAGACCAAAACCGACTCAAGAATTGGATCCTATATTAAGGACCGGATAAGTATATCTTTTATCATAGACCATGAATATTTCACATGCAGCTTCTTTCAGACTCTTTGTATAAAAAGGAGGAAAAATGTTGGGAAAATTGCAAAAAAAGACCTTGGAATTGCAAAAACGCAGATAGGGACCCTTGACAACTTCACTTGGGTTTTGACAACTTCAGGGCATATTATTCTTGTCAAAACCCAAAGTGAAGTTGTCAGGGTCCTTATCTGCTGTTTTTACAATTCCAAGGTCTTTTTTTACAATTTTCCCAAAATATTTGGAAATTCAACTATACAAATTATCTTTTGGCCCAAAAAAGTTAGAGTGAAAAATCATGATAATATAAATTGCAATTAGATTTCATTAAATATTTAAAATATTTTTTTAAGAGCGTCAAACACCTTAAAATATTTAGGATTTTGAGTATTTCAAATGTTAGATGAATTACAAATATTTTAAGATATTATATGCATGAAAAAATTTCAGTATTAGATCAACTATTCAATATTTAGGGTATAAGACAGTCAATAAACCTTAACACTTTAAATTACTGGCCCGTAGTCAGCGTTCCACGTTTAGGTGTCGTTTTAAATGAATTGTCGTTTTTATATGATTAGTGTCGTCGATAGACAGATCAATGTAGCATGACGAAGAAATCAGGACTACTGAACTGGGAACTAGAAAGAAGTTTGCAATCTTCGCCTGTACTGTTCCGTAATTTTTTGACAATGAGGAGGGGAACTGAGTCTTCAGCTCCGCCGTCATCATCGGAAGAAGA